GCACCTCACGACATTACTGCAATCCTACAGCAAGTTCGCCCTAAACACCTTTCTTCCCAACGTCACCTTCACCTACAGACATCCTTACTCCTACCTGATAATGTGAAACTCCAGAGATGCCTTTCCCTGAACCCAGCCACTCTTCTGCCATTTCCCAAGGGGGGAATTGTGCATCACTGGTACAGCCTGCATATCAACCCAGATGTTCGAGCAGATTTACAGTTGCCTGTGTTCACACCTCCCCCTGATGAACAATCAGAGGCCCCACTCCACTGTGTCTTGTGGTTTAGGGACGAACCAAGTCCTGATGTGGACTATGAGGAAGAATTATTTCAGCTCAAAGAAATTCAAATTACCCTGACTGACTTATTTTGGGACTCTACAGGTACCATGCTCATTTTGGTTCACCTTCCAGATAATGTAGCACACTTCTACCACCATTGGGAAACAGCTATCCCACACATATCTCTCACCAAATCCCACAACACCTTATGGGAGAACCTAGGCCCGATGGCCAAAACTTGGAACCAAATGACTCAAGAACAACTGACTTCTACGGGACTAAATAAAAAGACCATTAACTACTGCACAACAGGATACTCCAGGTACCACACAGAGGCCCGTGAGGACCCACCCACCATAGACTGCAACCTCACCGATATTCCCCATGACTGTTTTGAACAAATGAAAATGGAAACTACACACCTACCAACTGTTTATGAAGCTGCATTACTCAACCCGGATCAAACACTATTTGTGGATGGCTCAAGGTTTGCTGATGAACAAGGACAATACCACACAGGATATGCAGTCACCACAGGATGTCAAATATTACAAGCAGCTGCCCTACAACCAACTAAGTCTGCCCAAGAGGCCGAGTTAACAGCCTTGACTGTGGCCTGCAAACTGTCCGAAGGCCTACGTGTCAACATTCATACGGATTCAAGATATGCCCTGGGAGTGGCACACGATTTTGGCTTAATCTGGAAGACCAGAGGATTTCTTACAGCCACCGGTACCCCAGTAAAACATGGGGCAGCCATTGCAGAACTGATGGACGCATTGGAACTCCCAGCAGAAGTGGCAGTATTGAAAGTAAAAGCTCATGGAAGATTAGACACAGAAGAAGCACGTGGCAACAACCTAGCTGATCAGGCAGCCAAAGAGGCAGCACGACAAGGATGGGAAGTGGACAGAAGAGTGGCCACAGATACATTACCCATTTACACTATGCAAACATTGCCTACAGATCTCAGGCTGCTGAAGGAACAACAAGCTGCCGCCACTCCTCAGGAGAAACAAAGTTGGAAGAACAAAGGAGCAATACTCCGTGATGAAGTTTACACCATTAATCTCAAGTTCTGCCTACCTAGAAGTATGTACCCAGCGGTGGTCCAATGGGCCCATGGGCCAGCACACTGTCAAAGCTCCTGATGAACTCACTGATTGACAAGTATTTTGAAGCACCAGGCATCACTACCTTAACACAGAATTACTGCAAATCTTGTACTATATGTGCTAAGTGCAATCCTGGAAAGGTCATAAAGACTGCACCTAATCATCTAGCCAAGCCACATTACCCCTTCCAGAGGATTCAGATTGACCACATTCAAATGCCAAAGAGCGGACGTCATGAATATGCACTGGTTATAGTGGACATGTTTTCAGGATGGCCAGAGGCCTTCCCAGTGACTAATCTCACCGCGAGGACTACAGCCAAGTACCTTTTGACAGAAATTGTTTGCCGCTATGGGGTTCCAGAAGTAATTGAAAGTGACCAAGGGACCTCCTTCACTGCCTCGCTAACACGGGAAGTCTGGTCAGCACTGGGGGTGACCCTTGCATTCCACACACCATATCACCCACAGAGTAGTGGTAAGGTAGAGCGCATGAATGGCACTTTGAAAGCCAGAATGCTTAAAATGTCACAAGAAACTAACATGCCCTGGCCTGAGAGTCTCCCACTAGCGTTATTCAGTGTAAGGTACACTCCCAGAGGAAAATACAGTTTGTCACCTTATGAGATTTTGTTTGGTACAGCACCCAGGTTAGGTTGCTACTTTCCCCAACAGCTTCAGATTCAGTCAGACGCTATGGTAGACTATGTGACTGCCCTTTCACATGCCTTGACCAAGATACATGCCCAAGTGTTTTCTTCTATTCCAGATCCTGAGTCGAATACAGGTATACACAAGCTGCTTCCGGGTAATTGGGTTATGGTTAAGAAGTTCCTCAGGAAACACACCCTAGAACCGAGATTTGATGGTCCTTATCAAGTGCTCCTGATTACAGCAACGTCAGTTAAACTAGCTGGAAAAAGTTCCTGGATACACGCTTCACATTGCAAAAAAGTGCCTGCTCCAGAAGAAGCTGATCTTGTTGAAACATGAATTTATTATGTGTCTTGTGTTTTCTTATATTGTTGCATTTTGCCTGGGCCCAACAAGTGGCCATAACCAAAGATAATCATGTTTACACTTTCTGGTACAATTCTTCTGATACTGATGTAGCTACATACACCTTTGATTACTGTGACATAGTTACCTGTACATTCCCACAGACACAACATGCAGCCATATACAAAGACATACCTAACAAAAAGGACCCATACATTTGTGTGACTGGAGGAGCTTGGGGACACCACTGTAGTTCATGGAAAGCTGCCGGGTGGAATACAGGTAGACCATGGGGCTACAGACCTCAGGTTGCACTAGACAGACTTGACAAAGACGGGAAGCCCCTACTTTCTAGAATGACTCTGAGTAAACCCACAGGGTCGACTCCCATTAAACTTACCCTGAATATAGAACACCCTAGTCCAAGGGACGCGGGGGAATATGTGATGGGGATGTACTGGAAGGGAGGTGGCTCACACAATGCACTGGGGACATTCTACCTACAAGACATGCTCACCTCCCCAGACTGGGTAGGGACCACTCACATGATCGTTAACCCATTAAAACCACATATTAAGACCCTACATGACATGGTAGCTATAGCCAACCCCACCTTTGAAGACACTATGGCAGTGGAAACTGGTTTTTCAGACACTAATTTGTGGCTAGAATGGATGAGGTATAATGCCAACTCACACAATAAGACCAATTGTTACGTGTGTGGAGGAGCCAGGCCCCATCTGGGCACAGTTCCTCTGAATTTGCCTCCTGAAGTAGAATCATGTGTTCTGAGCCTTTACACACAGTCCGTCACCAACTCCTCGACATGTGAATCGTGGAAGAGAATTTACCCGATCACTCACGGACATGTAAAACCACCTGATGGAGTCACCATCTACCCAGGTAATTACACATGTTATACAATATCTAAAAACACCGGTTTGTATCTGGGCAAATTCCCATCAGGATATTGCTCAACTTACCATAATCCACCCGTATCACTGCTAATGAACCACACAAAGACAATCGGTGATATCTATTGGTTATGTGGGGATAAACAATTGAGGTCCCAATTAACTGGGCAATGGTGGGGGGAGTGTGCCCTAACTAAAGTCATAATGCCTATCCATATCATTCCAGATGGTGACCATAACACGTTAAACCTCACACATGTACACTCTAGAACCAAACGAGAGACTCCTATTCGAGGGAGTTTCGACCCCCATGTGTATATTGATGCCATAGGTGTGCCAAGGGGGGTGCCTAGCGAATTCAAAGCAAGAGATGAAGTGGCTGCAGGATTTGAGTCCCTAATTCCGATGATAACTGCTAACAAAAATGTCAATTGGATTAACTACATTTACTATAATCAACAGCGTTTTGTCAACTACACTAGGGATGCCCTACAGGGCCTGGCAGAGCAATTACAAGCCACTACCCAAATGACATTTCAGAACAGAATGGCCCTAGATATGATTCTAGCTGAGAAAGGGGGTGTATGTAAAATCCTCCCTGAGACCATGACATGCTGCACATACATTCCAGACAATACGGGGCCCAATGGTAAGGTGACTATGGCCATAGAGAAGCTAGATAGTCTTGCAGACGAGCTAAAGAAAAATTCAGGAGTCATTGACACTTGGGACAGATGGTTTGGATGGATGAATGGTTGGCAAAGGACCCTCTTCCAGGTGGGGACAGCTGTTCTCATAATGATCGTCATTTTCTTATTTCTGACCTGTTGCATATTCCCCTGCATACAGAAGTATCTACAGAAAGCGGTAGACAAGACTATAGATGACGTGACCCCTACTTTCATACACCAAGACATCACAGACCTCGAAGATGATACTCCATATACACCCCTTCAATCACATCAGTTCAAACAAACAACTGCTTTCCTGTAGGGACAGTATAGGGAAAGCGTCTGTCTTAACTGGCAAGTCTCACGTGTGGAGATGTAGTGGACTAGCCACTGCGGGTTACACGCGGAGTGAAGTGTTCGATGCTAGTTAAGGCAGATAGGTTGCAGGCAACTAGGGACATATTAGGGACAGTAGCAGTTGTTATGGTAAATAGCCATTTTAGGGGGGACTGTTGTGGAAATAAAGTCTGCACATATTTCCTAGTTAGTGAAAAATGTCTATTTACTCATTTCACGATATATATACATATAGCTAAGCACACACGTTATAATTAAGATGGCTGCTGGAAGCTTCTAGCTCCTTCCCCCTCCCCTCCCTTTCTCCTTCCTAACATCGACTAACTACCTCGTGCACCAAGATGGCGCCGGTAAACCGTGGGAGACCCTCATGGCCCCGGTGACATCACCTACAGTAGGCAGAGCATTGAAGCAACCACTTAACACCTAACCAATAATTGATGTATTATTCCATGTTATCTCTGACAATGCTTATGATGTAATTTTGCTTTAAAAGGGACTTGCCGTCCCCTCTGAATAAACTTTCCTCAAGTTATTCAACAACCTAGAACCTGTGTCTGGTGTGAATTACTTCAGGGAGCGTGCACGCATAGTTTCATTGATTTGGCCAGGGGCAGATACGCAAAGAAATAATCAATACTTTAATTGATTTTTCCACTTCAGTTACCTACCCCTGCACTAGGAGATACTGGAAGACTAGGGTACACTAAGACACTGGAAGACAGGGAGACACTGGGAACAATCCATCTTTTATTCAGCAGAATAAATGTAAGTAGTTTTTGTGGGGATTTTTTTGGGGAGAAGTAAGGGAGCCCGTGGGGGAAAAGGGTGAGTAGCTGAAGGGGTTTTAACCCCTTCAGTCCTGCGGGAGGGGGACACAGGGGGTGGGGGCACCCTCAGAGTACTATAGTGTCAGGAAAACCAAGCGGTTTTCCTGACACTATAGTGTCCTTTTAAGAAAGGAAAGTTTAGAGGGATGTATGGGAACAAAACTTGTGTGGACTGGCTGACAATGAAATTCGTTAAGGTAAAGCTGACTGTGCACAATGCAAATACTCTTGCTGCTTCAGTCTCTCTAACACTGTGGCATGTTCCCTTTCTTCTACACTCACTACATACAGCTTTTCTCTGTCCCAGACTGTATGACGGGAGCTTCTGCCTGCTAGTAAGGAGGTTAGCAGAGGAATGGACCAGTGAGTGCTAGGGGACAGTCCTTAGAAAGCGTGGAGCAAACTCATCATTAGACGCATTTATGCCAAGCTCAGTGTGCTGTCTGCATAGTATGCCCTTAGTTGGCCAGCTTACACGATTGGCAGGCAGCCTGATGTGCATGCATGCCAGACTGGCCTTCCAATTCTTTAGGCACAGGCCCCTTTTTAAGGAATGTTCGCCTCTTTCGGCGAATAGCATAGAGTGTGTGTTTTCTCATAGCTGCATCCTATGGGTTTCCCTTCAGCACCACTTCCGCCAGATACATGACAATTGGTAGGTATGACTGTTTACGATTCTGTAATTAGGCCCATACTTAATTGTCAGCACCAGGCCTACTGGGCTCCTAATCTGGCTCTGCCTTTATGGTGTGGTTTTTTTTTTTATACTTCCTAAATTTAAGAGGAAATCTGTTTGCATTATAGATAAAGCTTTCTGTACAGTATTTACGGAAGTCCCGGATTCTCTCACCTTTCACAGGAATAGCTGGGGGAGTCTCTGCCTGCTGGTTTCTTTTTCTTTTCTTTTTGCCAGACTGATTTGATAGCAGGTCAGTCGCACTTGGACTCTCATCACAAGGGCTATGATGCACAGGAAAGATATAGTCACACACCCAGCTAATTATGGGAAAAGGGACAGCAGGAAAAAGAGTTAACTATATTAACACTAAATGTGTGAGGCAGGCATAAACCAAAATATATTGTGTTAGAATAGTCATGCTTTAGATTTTCAAAGTGCAAGTAGAGCACAGACACGTGGCTCAAATGTGGATGTATTTACTAAACTAAGTAGTGGGAGAAGTTAGAAAAATTAGTGGTGATTTTATTAAAGACACGGAGGCTCATATTATGCATAACTCTTTCTTTATTTCCTCAGCAGCAAAGAAAGAGAAATATAAATATTATCAAAACTGAAGAAAAAACTGTATAGGCACAACAGGTAGCCAATCACAGGGTATAGGAAGTAGCTATATAAGTCTTGTGTCTCCCACAATCCCCCTCTTTCTTTGCTGCTTCCTCAGACAGATAAGTGTTTCTCTGATCTCTGGCTTGCATTGTGATTCCATTTTAATTTGTATTACAGTGTGTTTCCTTTTATGATTTTCATGCTGTTTGTTTTACTGTTATTTGTTTTATTATTATTTGAATTGGTTTTGATGTTCTGATTTTTTGTTTCCCTCGGTTGGTGTCTCCCCTCTGGGCCCGCGGGTGTGTCACTGCCCCGTCCGGGCGGTCCCCACCCCCCCCTCCGCTCTCCTACCCGTGCTTCTGCACGGGACCCGACCTGCTGTGCCGCGGCCGCGATCTCCTCGCGACCGCGGCGGTGTACACGCTTCTCTCCTCCCCCCTCACTCCAGATAGCGTGTCGGCTCGGCGGGCGGGTGCACGAGCCCCTTCCCCCGCCGAGTGTTTCCTCGTGTGCCTCCCTCGTGCGGCGGCCATTTTGGGGGCGGTCTTTTGTATTCCTCCCAGTGCTGCCGTGCGTCCGGCCACCTCGTAGCCCTGCTCCCTGGGGACACCAGCCAAAACGTTTGTTTTTCAGTTTTCCTTGTGGGTTAATCAACCCTTCCCTCTCTCTCCCAGCTAACACCCTGGTGTTATTCAGCCTGCTTTGTTTGTAGTCAGTTTGGTCCCTATATAATTTCCATTGCATTATTATTTTACTATTTAAATTCTCACTGTCTATTCTGTCACTGTCACTACCATGCAGGATAGGGGTGATGGGCCTTCCAATTAGATAGTACTGATGGTGCCATGGCCTCCCAAGAGTTTCAAGCCATGTTAGAGGCCACTATGGCTTCCTCCATTCAGAAGGCTATTGCCTCAGCCATGGGTGCTGTCTCTTCAAATTTTCCCCAGTCCCTGCACTCTCTGATTTTACCTGCCATGGCCACCCCTGCCCTCTCCCCTGCTCAAACTGTGCCTGGAGCCCGTAAGGCAAAGGCTAAGTCCAAACATGTCGGCTCCCACTCCTCAATGCAGGTTTTACCTGCCATGACTGACACGCCTGAGGCGGTCTCAGATGGCGCGCACCCCACGCGCAAAAGAGCCCCTGGCCGGGTTAAAAAGGCTAGACTATGGAAAAGGGCTAGAGCCCATGATATTGGGTCGGATACCGACCGGAGTGTGGAGGATGAGTCCGACGCTATGGAGTACGACTCCTTTGATCATGATGATTCTGGCGAGGATTTGCCCCTTACGGGCGTGAACCCCTCCGGGTCCTCCGCCAATACCCGGGGCCCCTCACTTGCTCCCCCGGGGGGTGACACCTCGATCCTTGACCCGCAGGGCAACCCCCTGTTTGACCCAGACGACCTACGTCATCCTCGGTCCGCCGAGTGGGTTCCCCCAGATCACATCGCCCAATATGTGGCTAAGCGTATCCGCACGCCACTTTCTAGGGAAGGCCGCAATAAATTGCGCGCCGAGTGCCCACGCCCGTCCCTCCCGGGCGCGGCTTGCAAAACCCCGGACATTGACCCGCAAATTGCTCAATTCCTGAATAAGTCAGGATGGAAGCCCAAGAAGGGCCTTGACCACTCCCTTAAAAGCTGCCAGGACAAGATCCTGGATACCCTAGGCCCCCTTTCCAAGCTTTACGAGCTTTTGGATGCTGCCAGGACCGGGGACTCCGTCCTGGACGTGGATGTGGCCATTGGTTGGGTCCAAAGAGCTATTTGCTTACTGGGGAACGCCAATACGGCCATGTCTACAGAAAGACGCAAGGCGATCCTCCTGAAGATCGACCCTAAATTGGCCGCTATGACTGTGGCGGAGCCTGATCCAACTGAGGAGGGTCTCCTGTTTGGCACGTCCTTCGTTAAGGATATGGGTGCTTATGTCAAGACCTTTACGGCTATTGACAAGGCACAGGCTAACATGAAGCGCGTGTTCGCGCCTAAGGTTTTCGGAGGGGCCGGGCGTAGCAGGAACCGTCCACCCGGCCGTGGTTTCCGAGGTGCATTCCGCGCAACCAGAGGTTCCTTCTTTCCCTCGAGAGGATTTCAGGAACAGAGGGCCCCTCCCTTCTTCCCGGCAAGAGGTCGGGCCTGGGGATCCAGATACCCCCGCGGTGGTACCCCTGGCAGACGTCCTTACGGTGAGTACCCTTTCTTTCCCTCACGCTCAAGTTCGGGTGGCGGGGAGACTGGCCTTATTTTGTCAAGAATGGGCAAAGATCACCTCAGATGCTTGGGTTTTACAATGTGTAAGGGGTTTTCGTCTGGAGTTTGTTTCCATGCCTGTCCAGTTTTATTCCCCCAGAGAACTGTCCCTCCCTCAGGAGCAGGACGAGATGATTTCCACGGAAGTGGTGGAGATGCTGTCCAAGGGCGCTATAGAGGAGTTGCCGTTCGCCGCCCCAGGCTTTACGAGCAATTTATTCCTAGTGCCCAAGAAAGGAGGCGGAGTTCGCCCTGTCATAAATCTTCGCCCACTCAACGCTTTTCTACGCTACCAACACTTCCAGATGGAAGGTATACACTGCCTCAGAGACCTCCTACGTCAATCGGACTGGTTGGCCAAGCTAGACCTGAAGGACGCATACTTTACGGTCCCCATCGCTTTGGAGTTCCGGGATTATCTCCACTTCACCTGGCATGGGCGTCGTTGGCGCTTCACCTGCCTGCCTTTCGGTCTCTCCTCGGCCCCTTGGTGCTTCACCAAGCTCATGAAGCCCGTGGTGACATTCCTCCGAACCCGGGGGGTTCGCCTCATTATCTACCTGGACGATATCTTGATTTTATCCCAGTCACGAGAGGATCTCCTCACACACCTGGGATGGACGACCGACCTTCTGCAGAAGTTGGGATTTCTGATCAATTGGAGCAAGTCGGTCCTGGTCCCTGCCCAGTCCATAGAGTTTCTGGGTTTTCAAGTGGATTCCATCCAGCAGTTCCTGTTCCTCCCGGATGCCAAGGTGAAAGCCATCCAGAAGGAAATTCGGAGGGCCCTCCGTGTTCCAGATTTGTCGGTCAGACAACTGGCGAGAATTATCGGCCTTCTCGCGGCCTCTATTCAAGCAATCTTCCCAGGCCCCCTGCATTACCGAGCGCTCCAACGGCTCAAGGGATCACGACTTCGCTCCGGTCATTCATACGAATCTCGGATAACATTAGACGAGGAGTCCAGGGACGAACTAGCGTGGTGGTTGGCGCACATGGAGGCATGGAACGGAAGAGCCATCTTCGGTTCTGCCCCGGACGTGGTGATAGAGTCCGATGCCAGCTTACACGGCTGGGGCGCTCGTTGTGGCAACGTCTCCACAGGAGGCAGGTGGTCCGACACAGAGAAGTCGTTACACATCAACTGCTTGGAACTTCTGGCAGGTGCCTTCGCGATCCGCAGCCTTGCTCCGGGGAGGGCGAATTGTTGCGTTCTCCTCAAGATGGACAACGTATCAGCAGTTCGTTACATAAATCACCTAGGGGGCACGAAATCCAAAATGTTGGCGATTCTGGCAAAGGATTTTTGGCAGTTCTGCCTCTACAACAACGTTTCGGTGACGGCGGAACACATCCCAGGTCTGGACAATTCGGGGGCGGATTGGAATTCCAGACACTTACGGGACTCCGGGGACTGGCATCTACATGCTTCAGTGTTCCAGTGCCTGAACAGGTTGTGGGGCCGGTTCCAGTTGGACCTATTCGCGTCACGCCTGAACACTCAGCTACCGAGGTTCTACAGTTGGAGGCCGGACCCGGCTGCAATAGCGACAGATGCCTTCCTCCAGGAATGGCCACCGGGTCTGATGTACGCCTTTCCCCCATTCAACATGATCGCACGCACGATCTCGAAACTGGTCCGCCACGATTGTCGGATGGCTTTGATCACCCCTCTATGGAGGTCTCGCCATGGTTCCCTCGGCTGATGGAACTGTCCATAGACTACCCTCGTTTACTTCCGGTATTCCAAGACCTCCTTCTGGATCCGGATGGGAACTCTCACGACCTGGTGTTGCAGCATCAGCTACCCCTCATAGCATGGTTCCTTTCAGGGGACCTTGGGCTATCCCAGACGTTTCGCAGTCAACTCTCCGACTCCTCGATAACGCCTGGGCCCCGGGTACACGGACAGCTTACCGACATTCATGGAGATCATGGTCTGGTTGGTGCATGGAACGGGCAAT